TTTCTGCCTCATAAATCTCCCAGGGGGAGCTGGAGGGAATATCTGGCAAATCCCTGTTTTCTTCGCTCATGACTCAAGTGACAGATTTGTGCTCCCACACGAGCATGTCCATAGCTGTGTAATGTTCTTTCTGAGACAGAAATACCCCCTTAAAGGTGCTTTTGAGAAATGCATCAGCAGGGTGCTGCGGACGCATGGTTGAGTTCCCACATCTGGGCACGCTGTTCTCTCACATACCTCAGGGCAGGCACTGGGCCTGTGTCTTAGGCCCTGTATCCCACTGTTCAGTGCTCTTGAATCACACTGGCCATTTATGTGATAGTTCAGTTTTAACAAAACTGGAATTACAGTACTACAGCTCTACAACATAGGCAGTGTCAGGTCTGCATTGTCATCCCCAATCTATATAAATAAGAACCCAGGTTCATTGACCTTCCCAGATCAACAACAGGTGGTGAATCTACAGAAAGTCATGTCCACTGACTCCAAATCCCCTACATTTGTCACTCTCCACACCTCGCCTAAAAGGCAGCCAAAACTATGAGGTTGCTGACGCCTGGAGCTCTGGGTCAGGCAGGAGGATTGAAACAGAACCTGGTGTCCTCAAGGTTTCCCAAAAGCTGGGTTATGTCCTCACATGGAGGTTTGCATCCTTTCTTCCTTCCCAGTAGACTTCCCTACCCTGTCTTCTTTTTTAGCACTTGACATCATTTCTGCTCTTGACTTTGACTGCACCATAAATGGCCGGTCTCTGGAAAGTACTGCATTTGGCTGCTGGCTCTGTATAAACCTTCTTACCCAGTGAATAGCATCAGTTTCTTCCCTGAAATCATCACCCTCTGGAGAAGGGTCAGTGACTGCAGGCAGAGGAGCTTGCTGCGCAGCAACCTTCTGGACACCAGAGAACCCATGGAGGTCACTTCAGAAAAAGTTACCAGGGACCTCAACTACAATAACAGACCATGAGGAACCGTCCCTGTGACACAGGGGTTTTGTTGCCAACATGGTCAGAACCATTCACAACAAGGAGGGCACTGGCCCACACCGGTATTCTGAGGTGCTATTCGTGGCCATGGGCTCAGACAGCCCAGCGTGCAGCCCTCAGCAGCCCTCAGAGGTGCAGCTGGACAACGCCTTGGCCTGCGTAAGGAACAGAGGGCAAGGCTCAGCCCCGTGAGCTCTGTACCTAGCCCAGTGGCTCAGATTACCCCAGACCTGGGCCAGTGAAAACTGGCCCAGGATGTGTGGTTCCTTAGAGACCCATTTGTACATTTCCTGGGAAATGTCTCTTCCTAATGGGGAAAGTGCCCTCGGAAATCCAGACACGGTCAGCGAGTCTGAGACCATATCTGAGTAGGTGCTTCCCTAGGCAGTCCCAAGATACGCTGTATACTGCCTCCTTCCTAACCTGCAGCGGGTTGCAAACAAGTAATATTTTGCTCTAAACTGTGTCTATAATTTATGTGCTGCCAATGTGGACCAGCCCCTGTGCTGATTCTGTTGAGTCTGGTTTGCCCATCTAAGTCCAAGGTCTTCATGGTCTGTGCTTCTGGAGATTGGATGGGTTAATGCATAGAAGAAAACAGATGGGCGCTGAGAGAGCAGCACTTAGCAGGGGCCTGGCTAGGCCAGGCTGTGGGGTGCGTGGCTCATGAATTGGGTGGGGAGTTCTCTTCCTTCCTCCTGGGCTCCTGAAGGGAGGCTGACTTTGGTCAAGAGAACAGCTGTGGGAAGCGACAGCTCAGTGGGGTTTTGGAGCCCATGTAAGCACTGGGTCTGTGCTATGCTGCGGCAGGGAGGGGGTTTCCTTAAGTCCCCCAAGTGCTACTATTCCAGCCAGTGGAGGGGACAAAGTCTAGAGCAGAAATTGCAGATTAGAGGTCTGTGGGCGTGGCCTGAAGGTGTGTATCATGTGCTTCACACAGTATTTTATTTCCATTTAAATTAGTCACCAATGTTTTTAAGACAGAAACTCATCCTTAAATCTGGATTTCCAGCTTCTTGTGAAAAATGGGAATATCTAGCAACACTGGGACTACATGGGCACAGTCAGCTAGAGTTGAGTAGCAGCTGCCTCATTTAGACAAGACCCATTCAGCGTGCAGGAGGAACATACCCAAGGGAAGCAGTGCAATAGGCAGTTAGTAGGCCCCATACTGTGAGAGTGAAAGAAACTGTTCAGAGCTGCTCAGGCCTTTGAGCAGGAGGTCAGGCTTGGCTCAGGGCAGAAATGGGCTCTGAGGGCTGGCAGAAAGAGGCAATTGTTTGCCTCCATTTTCTGCCTCAAGGCCATGAGTCATTCTTGCTCCTACCATCAGAAGCCAAGAGCCCTGCAGTCCAGGATAACACAGTCGAGCCAAGCAAGTCTCTGCCTGCGCTAGTTCAGAGGACACATATATACGTACTCTAAGCTATAGATGGCATCACATCAGCACTGTGATGCAGGAATTCAGTGTCTTTGCAAACAGTATCAGGCAGATTTCAGGAAAGCATTAACATGTGCAGCAGAACATTCAACTTCGGATCTGGAGCTGGGAACTCAAAGAGCTCAAGCTCAGGCATCATCAAGTCCAGCAAACATGTGAGTGGGAGCTGAGGCTCACAAGTGTCCTCTGATGTGAGCTCAGAACTGGCCAAGAAAGGAATATTCCACACTCCTTTCATTTTTACCCTTGAAAGATTGAGAGAACGCAGTGAAAGTCATGAGCATAAAAATACCTTGGTTACATTCAGGAAGATCTTTAAACCCCAGAGATGGCTAATAAGAACTACCATACTCCAAAAGACACCAAGTCAAGACAACCACCTCCATGGTGCCTGTAAACCCCATGCCTGCTACTAAACCTGTAGCACATAAGAAAGGAGATTTAGAATAAACAGGACATAAAGGGTAATTGAGCTTAAGACTTTCTCAAATGTCGGAATCCAGTCCATGGAATAATGCTTAGAAGGACAAAACAGACACAGGTGGTGATAGGAACCACCATCAGACTGCTTGGCACAGAGACTCTGACAAGCGGGCAGAATCACTGCCATATAGACGGGTGTAAGGCAGTCCGGGAAGAGCAGCCTGGAACGGTGGTCAGAGAGATCAGGAACCACAGCACAGCCATTCTCTGACTGCCGATTACATGGTTTCTTGCCAGGCACTGTCTTCCTGAAATATCCACCTTTCTGACAGGTTCCCTTCCACATTCAAATTTTCTTGGTTTCTGTTTTTTTGTTTGTTTGTTTTTTAATTAGTTAGTAAAGTTATATAGGTTTCATGTGTACATTTCTATAATACATCATCTATATATTGCATTGTGTTGTCACCACCCGAGTAAGTTCTCCTTCCATTATCATATATTTGACCCCCTGTCTGGGGCTTTTACAACACTCCATCATCTTCCTCCCTTATCCCCACCCCAAAACCACACCTTGTGCAGCCTTAAAAATACAATCTAGTGGGTTGTCCTAGGCGCTCTTTGTGAAAATGCTTTCCTGCCATTTGAGATTTTTCTATCAGGCTATTTTCTCTCCTGTGACTTCAAAAGAAAGATTCAAAACTTTAAAAAATAAATAAAAAGAAAGAATTTCTATTGCTACTCAGGTTTTCAGGGAGTATGATGAGCAAGAGAAATGGCATACAATTTAAATAGAAAATCAAATAGAGCCAGGAATGTGGTAACTCATTAATCAGCAATGAAAAGATAATAAACTAATAACAGGTTCTCAGCTGTTTGAACTAGTTTTCATAGACCTTTGCATAAGAGTACTGACCTTTTTATTTTTTTAAGTTTTCAAACACATTCACACAAAACTAAGAGATACCTGGGAACTAAGAGGCTTATCCTAAGACCAAAGGTCAAATTCAAAGCCTGTGTTCATTACTATTCTGTGGAAAAACAATTTTAATTTTATGCTGATCATAACAATAAAAGAAACATTAGAGCTTTGGGAAAAAGATTAAAGGGGTTATCTAATTGAACCCACTCATTTGAAGGGACTGACTCTCATTCTTTAAATAATTAGTGAGCACCTTTTATGTGCTGGTACTATACCAGGAGCTACATAGCATTTACACATAAAATTCAGTCATGGTTTATTTTTCAAAATAACTGGAAAATGCAAGAATGATGCAAGTTAAAGAAACCTATTAATTAGATATATTAATGGGTTTCACAAAAGAAAATTTCTAATTAGCTTCTCTAAAGATTCTGAAAAAACTTTTGATAAAAATCCAATATCCTTCCTACAAAATACAGCTCATTATTTACAATAGGGTAAACCTGTTCATGAGTAGAAGCATCAATTAAGTCAATTACACTTTCACTCAAAAAAATACCTATAAACAATAGTAAAGACAATTATACAGCAAAATTTAAAAGTGAAAAACAATTCTATGATGTGAAGCATACAAAATCTGAGGACTAAACTGTATCTCTGATATGAATAGAGCTTTGTAAATTATATGTACACATAACAAGGAAAGCCAAAAAGAAACAAGGAGAAGACAGTTAAGAGATTTGACTGCTAGGAGAAATTTTTTTTTCATCTCTATTAAATTATAGTAACATATTGTTTATGTAATAAGTTTCATCAAAGAAGACTGCAGAGTGAGAGGAAGAAGAGTGAGTGAAAAAGGGGGCACAAAATAAGCTAACTGACTTTCTAAACCCCAGATGTCACCTGCAATAAGCTGTGATTCATGTGATAATATGAGGGTGACATTGCCAGCAGAGAGCTCCTTCAGTGAACCAGCCCTGGAGAAGGTGCAGCCTGGGAATCTGTCTAACCAGCCCAACAGGTTATTCGTCTCAGGCCAGCCCTATCCCTTCCTCCCCCCGCGGCGATTCTCAGTGTTCAGGCTGGTTTCACCTGTTCTAAAAACACACTGAGCAGCCAATCCTCCTTCCAGGCAGGATGGGAAAGTAAGAGCTGTAACCCTGACACAGAAAGGGGTTTTAACACGTGAACCCCGGCAGAAGCCAAGGGCCTTCAGCCCCACCTGCCCTTACCTGTTGAAGCATCTCTTCAGCAGCATTGAGTTTCACCTGGTGTCCTTCCAGACATACTTCCAGGTCCCGAATCTTCTCCCCTTGGGCTTCCACTTGGTCTGTGAGGACACTCACCTGTCCCGGGAAATAAAGCAATGGTGGAGAAGCAGGAACGGCTTCCCACTAGAGGTGAGCCGTGAAGCCACACCACTGATCCTTACATAGAAAGAACGGCTTTTCTGTCTGACGGGTGGCAGGTGGGGTAAGTGTCCCGGATGAAGGAAACTCCAGTTGTTTTTCTTACCTTGCCAGGCAGTCTCGACCACCACCTGAACAGTGTGGGTCACATTTCCTGCTCTTGACAGACTCAAGAGAAAAATACCAAAGACAAACTCAAAAGCCACGAGAGCTGCCTCTGGGCTGGACTCTTGCTCTGATTTCTCCGCTAGAGCTCCCTCGGGCAGCCCCGACCTCAAGGCATATCTCAGCTAGCTTGCCAGGGCTGCCACCTCATGTGGAAGAGCGGTCCCAGCTCCTGTGGAGACTAACCAATGACCTCACCTCTCTCATGAGGGTGTCAGGACTGCTCACCTATCAGGCGAGCGTTCTGAAGCAATTAAGGAATGTGGGACGTAAAGGGCATGTATTAGCACTGACAAAACTTGGCTCCAGAAAGGTCTTTGTGCTTCACAGGCCAAAACATGACTCTAAGTCATAAATATACACAAGCCACATTGCACATACAGTGGCAGGAAAAAAGTCATCTTTCTGAGGAACACTGAGCATATCTATTGGACTTAATTCATAAAAATCCATTTATAATAAGTCATCTAAATTATATCCTAAATATATACTGAAAGGGTTTTCATAGCCTTCTCTATTAGCAAACTGCCCCAGGATCGTTTTTTCTTTTTCTTAGTTAAAAGGTGCCTCAGGGCAGGAAGGTGGAGAAAGAGCAAGGATGACCCCGAAAAATAAAGAAAGCAATTCCTGGCAAATTGAGAGCAGACCCTTCTGGTTTTTAACCGATGGCCGAGTCATTTCCATTTACATATAGATTATCCTAAATTATTTTCCAGTATGTAAAGCTGGAGCATGAGCTCATGTGAATTCACTTATGAGTGCTTAAATAAACTTTGTGAATCATAAAGCTCCCCCTTTACAGAGGCACTCATCTAAATTAATACGGCTACTTTCAGTTTTCCTTTTTTGTGTTCCCAAGTGATTAATGAATCATTGAAACATATTCCTGGAGTTGAGGCACAGTGTGTTAACATTTCAATTACAACCCCAAAACAAGAGCATTCTGTCAGCTAGGCCCATCTTAAATGCAAACCTTTGTGGTTTTTTGGTTTGTTTTTTAATCCTTGTTGCCCAACACCATCAGCGGTCTGGCCTTTTCAACTACTAATGGGGTGCCTTTGCTCCCTGGATTCCAGAGTTTCTGTTTGGGAAGGGTGTGTTACAGTGAATCTTATTATGAGGATTAACACATACAGTCTGCGCCATGCCTTGGGCCTTGGGGCTTTGCGCTAGCAGTACCCAGAGGAATAATATGTGGTTTCTGGAATTCTAGAGCTTATAGCTCAGCTGTAAGTAAGACTCAAGATACACAGGTCTGCAGGGTCCTTGTGAACCTCAGTATTCACTCTAAATATGATGAATGGAGAGGTGTTGAAAATTGGGACAAGATGTAAAAAGCTCCTAGAATGTGGTCTTTACTCAATAAAACCAAATATATTTTTGAGCCCCTATTACGTGCTAGGCATAATTTTAGACACTGGGGGACATAACAGAAGTGGGGGGGGGAAAAAAAGAAAAGAAAATCCTTGCCTTCAGAACTTACATTCTAATGGAGATATAAATGATTTTGGTTTTATTTGTTTTTAACTAACCCTGGAAACAAAGTATTTTATTCTGAGCGATTTTCCTGATTCTTCTACAAGTAAACCTAGAAAAACATGCTAAGGGCTCTAGTTATTATAATTCAGTCTGGCTGACGTGCCCTGTGAATTAGGCAAGAGGCCCTGCCATGCTCAGGGTCTCTAAGCGGCTCCATGGGGCCACTATGTCACAGCAGTGGTCACATAAGAGCAATTCTGAAAGTCTGTCCACAAGCTCCTGACAGAATGGAAACAGCTAGGATCCACTTCTGACTTTTCTGATAAGCAGGCTTCCCAATTGTGTTTAGATTATTTAAATAAGGCTTATGCAAGAATTTGGAATTTTAAAAAACCATGAACATCAAAAAGATGATCAAATAGGACTTCTTTATTAAACAGTAATCCTCTAAATAGAAATGTATTATTTAACGTATTATTTCAGCCATGAAGGTATCTGGTTCAAAATTTTGCAATTTCATACTGTTTGCTACAAAATTCTAAACTGAACACTCATTAATCATGTCATTAGGGTGGCGTTTCAAATTACACATTCCTGAAAACGTCTGCACTCTAACATGCTATATAATCTGGCCCCTGCTACCTCTCTGAAGGCAGCTCCCACCAGGCCTCCTCGCCCGTCCCCGGCTCCAGCCACATGACTCCTTCCTGTTCATCCCACACATCAAGCACGCTTCCCGCTCAGGGTGCATGCTGAACCCACCACCTCCTCCGCCTGGAATAGGCTTCTTGAGGCATCCAACTGGCTCCCTCCTTAGCTTCCTTCAGGTCTCCGATCAGGGAGGTCTTCCTTGACTACACAACCCTTATCCTGCTCTATTTTTCTCCACAGGATGTATCACCACCTGAAACATTTTGTGTATTGGTTTATTGTCTACACACACACACACACAAATGGAAGCTCTAGAACAGGGTCTGATTTAGTCTGATTTTTTCACTGCTGCATCCCCAGCACCAAAAGCCAGTGCCTGCCAAGTTGTGAGTACTCAAATATTTTTTAATGAACAAATCAATGAAGTAAAGAATAAAAAATAAAAAAAAATAAAAAACCTAGATGCAAAATTGTATATTTGGTCTGAGTTTACTTATTGAAGATGGGGCAGAACAGAAAAAAGGGCTAGAAAAAAAGGTAAAAATGTTAAACTCTTTTTGATTTTCCAAAGTTTCTAAAATAGTCATTTATTACTCTTACATTCATAAAATGACGTAAAATACCGTATTTGCCGGCGTATAAGACGATTTTTTGGCCCTGAAAAATATGCCTCCAAGTGGGGGGTCGTCTTATACGCCAGGTACACTTCAGATAGACTGCCCATAGTGCTTGCCCCGTGCCATAGTGGCCTCCCTCCCGATGCCCGCCCACTTCATTCCACATACCGTTCAGGCATCAGCAGCGCTGCTGGGTGTATGCTCGGCTGTGTGCGATTTTGCGAGTGTGGTAAATTCGGGTTACCGTATATTTCTTTACATATGCATTGAAGATTCGCGATTTTGCGCTATCATGGTGCCTGTTAGAATGTTGAAGAGCTCGCACTTGCGCACTAGTGAGGTCCCAGGGAGATGCTGATGCAAGGGTGGACCAGACTGCTATAGTGACAGGGCGGGCAAACAGGGAGCAGGGACCAATCAAATCAGGCTTTGTATACAGCCAACAGCCAACCACAATACTGCACCATTGTACAGTACAGCATAGAAAATGTCGACCAGTCAAACCCCTATCATCCCTATCATGGCACCAGCCAAAAGAAAGAAGTATGATGCAAATTTTAAACTGGAAGTTATCAACTTTGCTAAGGAAAATAATAATTGTGCTGCTGCAAGACAATATGGAGTAACAGAAAAGATGGTTCGGGACTGGAAATCAAATGAGAAAGCATTCAAGAGTATGCCAAGGGGTAAGTGTGCATTAAGAAGAGGCACCCCACACTGGCCAGAACTCGAAAAACATGTAGCAGACATGGTGGCTCAACATCGCCAAAACGGTTATGTGGTGACACGAAATACAATACGCTTGTTTGCACTTCAGTGGGCCAAATCAAATCTGATATTGTTTTACCTTTTATTTGGTGTGTGGAAGGTGTGCAGAAGAGGGGGTAGTCTTATACGGCGAGTATATAACAAACTCTGTATTTTGAGTGGAAATGTTAGGGGGTCGTCTTATACGCCCAGTCGTCTTATACACCGGCAAATACGGTAAGTAAAAGAAATAAGGTAAAATAGAAGAAAGAAAAACAAACCCAAACATACTGCAGCCTCTTACTATAGTATTAACTCTAGGACTCTAAGCTAAAGCCCACAGCCTGGGGAGGGTTCCAGAACCCGACCTGCCGGGTCCCTCTATTCTACTAATAGTCTTGTCTACCACCCCTCAAGCTTTTTAAGGAACTAGGGTTGGGATATTTATCTTATGATTCTCCAACTCATCAAATGTATACCAGACCTTGAGGCGTGATCCATGCATTTGAGAACTAACACTGCAAAGCGCTCCTGACCCAGCAGTAGGCCTCCCCTAAGAATGCTCAACTTTATGTCCTAGTAAGGAATGCAACTTTTCAGAACCGAAACTGTTCCTCTGATTATCTTTCTCCATGAAAAGGTGTGGAGTTCTTCTCTTTGAAGCAAGTCATCATAGGCTTATCAGCCTATGTTCCCAGCTCTAGGGTATTTGGCCTCAGAGTGCAAGTACAGGTCCAGCTCCAGACAATGTGGACTTGATCCTGTTAACATGCACCCTTAGGCCTGTATCACTCATGGCTCTGTTTTATTAGAGGACACAGCTTATCACCCTTGCAAGACTCCTGGGCTCCTAGAAGACAAGGCCCCATTAATCAGCCTGGCACAGAGCTTCCACTGTATAGAGCTGTGTGCTCCGTAGTCCATGATAAATAAATAAATACATTCACAGCCCCGAAAACCAAGTCCAGGGTTAAATTGTGCCCCTAGTTACTTTCCACCTTGTTTCAGGAAAAGTCTTTCTAAAAACATACATTTGGGGAGCAGGATAAATCCGAAAGAGAAAACCTCTGGTACTTTCCTCCCACTCAGGGCAGCTACGGAGTTAGAGATAACAGGATAAGCTGGTTCCCACCAAAAAGGACCCACCTGTAATATGAGGGACTCCTTATCTCCTTCTAGACGTGCCAAGCGTTCCTGGTATGTTTCATTACTAGCAGCACCATGGTGGTTTACCTGGGACTGAAGGGAAGAAAACAGAATGTACTTAAAAGGTTGAAAAAACATCTTACCAACTTCCAAATGAAATATGCAATTTGTGCAAGGCAGTTTCGCAGATTATATGTGCAAAACCACCCACCTAAACAGGAAACCACAGGATTTCAAAACTACTACAAGGAGAACCTGACCAGATGCCATCAATAGGTGTGCTTTGAAAGTTGGCAAAAACCACCCCCTGGATGACCTCACCCCTGGTGGGGAAGGCTTCGATGGAGCTCCAGACCCAGTGGTGCTTGACTTGGCTGAATGTGTCAGATCTTGTTTAGCGAGAGGCACAGCCTGCCAGAGGCACCAACAGCGGTAAGGTTCTACTCTTTGAGACCAGGTATCATTCACAAATAAACTGTGTGCGAACAGCTCCTGCATAGATCTTGGTATCTCTTAACTCTCGTACCAGGGTTATCCAAAGCCAAGGCACATCTCACAGCATGGACACCCATTCTGAACATCATAGTGAGAACGGAGGATGGGGGATGTCAACTGCAGAGCCATTCATCTAGTCACACGTCCCTCCCAGAAGTGGCCATTCCCACTCCTCTCTAAGGGCTCTGACAGTTAGACCGGCATGCTGTGTTTCTGCAGGGTTAGAGCTGAGATAAGCCAGCTAACATGAAACATCTTGAGAAGAACCCAAATAATCCAAAGGGATCTCAAAGGGCTACACAGAGGGAAAACACAGGAAATGGAAAGTAGCCAGAAACCATGGAAAACAGAGGAAAAGGAGAAGATCTGAAATGGCAGATGAGAGGCAGAACCATATAAAATGCCCTGAGTTAGAGATAGCAGCTGCGGTCACTTTCAGGGTGTGTCTGACCTGGTTGTAGGCAGGGAGGAGGCAGGCAGCTGCTAATGGAACTGAGTTGGCCCAATATCACCAAACACTCCCTTCCTCAATGCTGAATGTAAGACCGAAACCAGAGTCCAACTACAGGTCATCCAGGGGCTTGACACTCTGAGAAAGGAGCTTTTATTGCTAAACGAGAAAGTGACAATCATAATAATCTGGGCTACTCCAGAGGAATCAATGCTCCAATGTTTATGAGGCGGGTACCCTCAACCCCAAAGGAAAGACTTGATTGTGCAAAATAAGCAGGCAGAGAGGAACCCAGGCACGGGGGGACCAGAGCTGGCTCTCTTCTCCTGAGCCCATTTCCACACATTCCATTCTTCGGAATGAATGGGCTTTCCAACCCTCCTCCATTAAGTAAGGGTACCTCCTCACACCCCTTCCCCAATGCACTGCTTAGGTGAGGGCATGTGGCAGAGCCAGGCCCGGCCCTAGAACAGAAACAGGGACCATCATTCTGTATTCAAGCCTGGAGTGTCACTTGGGAGAGAAGCACTGGTTGTTTGTTGAAGAGGCAGTGGGAGAGCGAGCCCAGAGGGCATTTCCCAGGGCGGCTGTGCCAGGCACAGGCTAGATTAGACACCAGGCTCCAGCCACACCACTGCCTTTTACTCCAGCCTCTCTGCAGTCTGCATCTCAGTCATTGTTATGGAAGCTCTTTCACACCACACACAAAGGGCCTTAACAATCACAGATGGCAGTTGATTGTGGCTACATTAATATTCCAGTCCTCACATGGTCAAACTCTCTGACTAGTATCCAAGGATATAATTATAGCCTACATGTTCTCGGAATCCAACAAGAAAAGAGAAGAAAATAATTCTTAACAGCAGGTCAAATGCTTCTCTGTCAAAGAACTCACATGATGGCGATTTTCAGGGGGTAGAGAGACTAGAAAAGGACCCAGGCACCCAAGTGAAGCTCTGCACATCCAACCCCACAGCCAAGGTCAGCATGTGCATGGGGCCACCCAGCACAGGCCGCTGCCACTTCTCCTGCAGCAGGGGAAGGAGGGAAGACCAAAAGAAAGATCCCTTCCACGAGACTCCAGCAAGCCAGGGTTCCAACTGTGCCTCAGTCGAGTGGGGTGCAGTAGGTTCCTCGTTGTAATAAATGGGCTACCCACACAACCACCCACAGCAGTTATTTTTACTAATTGAAAAACAAATAGAAGAGTAAGCAAGTAAGTTGACGTCATCAAGTTCAGTTAATACACAAAATGCTTGCCATAGAGTTTGTAACACATGCTAGAAAGAGATAAAAAAAATCTGGGTCCATCCTAGCAGCTGATGGAAAAAAAGGAAACACAATGAATTAAAAGATGCACAGAGCAATACAGTCAAAGCGACTGCCTAGAAGCACAGCTATTCCCTGAGGAAGGGAGAAACTTCTCATTTTCACGGAGAGATTTTGTTTAATGGGATAAACGACATCCATAATGGTATCCTTACAGTAAGCTAAGCCCAGTCGAGCTCCCTGCTTTCCTGTGATGTCCTGTAAATTGCTTAATGAATAATATGGGCCAAAGCCCAAAGCAATTTTATTCAGGCCAATACAACTGGTCCAAGCACAGAGCTGTAAACACATAGTAAGCATTCAGGTAGTGCTCGCATGCGCCAGGCACTTTAGAGCACTTTACATGCATACAATCCTTTAATCCTTTCCACAACCCCATGAGGTAGGTACTATTTTTATTCCCATTTTACAGATAAAGGAACTGAAGCACAAAGTGTATGAATAAGGCACCAATGGGTAATTTGCCCAAGTTACTATGTACTAAATTGGTAAGCTTTCTGTTGTTACAACTTAACTGAGGAGCAGATCAGGTACAAATTTTGTTTTAAATATTGGGTTTGAATGAGAATTGATTTAAAATAGGCTTGAAAGGGGCCAGCCGAGTGGTGCGTTGGTTGGGAGCTGGCTTGGGATGCCAGAGGGCCCGGGTTCGGATCCCACATAGGAGGGCCAGTGATACTGCCCTCTAAAAAAATAAATAAATAAATAAATAAATAAAATAAAATAGGCTTGAAAATTCTGTCTGATCCTAAATGTTCATTAATTGATGACTGGATAAAGAAGATGTGGTATATACATACTCGTATCCACAATGGAATATTATTCGGCCATAAAAAAAAGTGAAATCTTACCACTTTTGACAACATGGGTGGGCCTAGGGGGTATTATAGTAAGTGAAATAAGTCAGACAGGGGACACTGCATTTTAATTAGGGATGAGATTATCAGAAGATATCTAAGGCCCACAAAAGAAACCTTATCATTAGTTGAAGAGAACATTAGACTAGTCAATTTCTCCTTTGCTGTCTTCCTAAGGAAAAGCAATGGAGACAACCAATACAGACAGAATTCTTCTGAACCCTGTTTTAATGAACTCTGTTATCTGTCCGCCCAGAATCGGCTGGGAGCATCCTCTTGACTGTAAACATACGGTAGAAGTGAGGGCTGTCATCTTAGAGGTAATCTTCACCTCCTCATCACCTGATCCAAGTTTGGCAGGTTGGAATCCTTCCTCTGAAGTTTTAAACGTGGGAACAGAAAATGGTAGCAGTGGTGCTAGAAGGTTCTATGGTTCTCAGTGACCATGTCCTCGTCCATGTGGAAGACGCTGGTTTGCAGAAGGAGTCAGCTATGAAGCCAACACGTATAGAAACACAAATGCAAGCTAAGAAGAGAGAGGGGATGCTGGCATTCTCATCCCTGGCTCATGCTGTCTAAAGGCGGAGATATATCCCCCTCCTCCCCGTTAGCCCCCTCTTGGCCTGCATTGGTTCAAGCTGAGTTTTTGTTGCTTGCAACCAAAAGCCCAGGCTAATGCATTTATGTCAAAAGGTGACTGATCAATCAACTGAATGAAATTTATTCCTTTGGAAACAGACTTACAAGAAAGAATTCCTGCCGTATGGATATAGTACTAAATTACAAAGGAATTCTGCCTACTATTGCTTGATTTGCTTGAACTGGCAGTTTTTAAGGTGGGGTTGTCAGTTCTGAGCCAACTATAGTTAAAACCAGGATTATCATCAAGGGCCATTGTGGATCTACTTTGTGGCACAGGGTGTGTCCACGCAGGATGTATTGGGAGAAAAAGGGCATCCAGTATCCTTCGTGTGTGGAATAGATGGCTTTCCATCCACCACCTGTTGGCCTCCATTCTTATTTCCCACGTAGAACAAGACAAGGAAATGACAGGGTAAAGACAGGAATGATACCAGATGCAACAGGACCATGGGCATCAACTGGGTGGGGCAAGGATAAGAAAAATAAGTTAAAACAATAAATAAATAGGAAGCTTAAAGTAGGGCTAAAAGATATAAGGGTGAGAGGAAAAAATAAGTAAATGAAGGGTAATAAAAACATCTAAACACCTGACAGCTGTTTTAAAAGTTATGCTGAAAGAATGACAAGTCCTACACAGCTATAGAGATGCCAGGTCTGGGAGCCGGGAGGCTGTGTGTGAGCTGCAGTTTGCTGTTCCCGTTCTCTGCCCAGCTGGACTTAAGGCAGTGGATCCTGGAGACTTTGTTGGGGGACTTCCATATATTTACGTGGGAACTTTGTTGGGGGACTAGCATATAATTATAGAATTCCTACAGCATCCCCTTCTGCAAGGAACTCCCCTCTCTGCAGAACAACGGCAGCAAGGAATGGCTCTACCCATGTAATCTCAGGCAGGTCCCCTCATCGCAGGCTTTAAATAGAGAAAATGATACTTCACAGAGTGACACAGAGGATCAGTCAGTTTTAGGTCATTACACACGAAAACATGTGGGAATAAAAGTGCAGAGTGCTCTTTATAGCAGGATGCTCTAGTATTTCCTCTGTGTAATATAAACAGTTTCTGAGTGACTGTGGAAACACAGAAATCATCTAAACAGCTTCGTTTAAGCCAAAAGACCAAAGAAGTAGAGTTAGAAGCAGTTCATCCCTTGTGCTGACAGTTTTAATTAACTCCTTTGTGCGCAAGAGAACAAAAAGAGGCAATGTTTCTGATCCGGACACCTACGAAGTATCTGTAAGGATCTGTACAAACAATCCAAGGGGAAAATAACCAACATACTTTCAGGCTGGAAAGAACATAATGCTGCCTAAGTGACAAC